TAAGTTTCTAAAGAATGCTATTACATCCTCTTTTTTGCAGGTGGAATTTTGGCAGGTATAATTTCAGATCGACTGAAAAAGAGGGCTACAACATGTGGCATGATGCTATTGATTGCTGCCCCCACAGTAAGACCATAATAATAAAATTGGAAATAGCTTTTTATGTTGTGCATGTATTGGTTAAGATATGTGATAGTACTTTTACATTCGATGTGACTGTTAAGATAAACTTTTCCCCTCCCCTTTCTACAACCTTGGGTAAGCAGAAGTGAAAGCAGCATTAGCTAATCTGATACACCTCTAGAAGCAGCTCTTCACAAAACTGGATTTCCAGAAGGCTGAGAGTAGCATTTCCCACATTGGCAAAATAGGGGGAATGCTATGGGATTGAGATGGACTGATTCACTCCCCACCCCCGACTGCATTATGTAAAAGCCAATGTGAATCAGCCCTGAGTTCCCAACACCAATCTGCAGTTTTTGCCTCTGCCGCTTTTTCCCCTTATTTTTATGTAATGCTGTTATGCTAGGGCACAAAGGAAGGAAGGAAGGAAGGAAGGAAGGAAGGAAATTGCCACTCCCCCCATCTTTACATTGTATTAAGTAGTTCTTCTGCAGCTGCAACTCCTGCTGGGCTACAGGAGAGCTACATTAACAAGCTACAAAAAAGGCTTTTAATTCAATTTCTTCCACTCCCTGTGTAGCCAGTTAATTCAAACAGATCCAGGGAAACCCAAATTCCCAGTGCAACTTTGCAGTGAGTGAGTTTGCACTTCTCTTGCTGTGTAGTTGCATCCTAAGACTGCTGGTGGAAGAGGAAACATTCTTGTGTTCTCCAAGCAGAAAAGAAAGGGCACTAGTTTTCCTGTCTCTTCAGCAAATGCTGCCCCCTGGCTGAGATATCCAGGAACTGATTGGTAAAGCCAAGGGAAATATCCCAGGAACCAGTTTCAGCTGCACTGCAGGGACATACCACATGACTGGAGCTCAGAGAAATTTTCTTTGCTTGACTCCATGTCTCTGCTGGTCCGGGACCTATGCTTCTTAAAGCTGCACCGAAACAGAGCCCCTGCTATCTACACACCAGAGAAATGCAGCATGGATCTCATACATTCCTGTCATCAGTACCTATAGATCTCCAAGTTGAAAATGTTTATAACACATTCATATCTTTCTAAGACAGGTTGTCTTTTTCTTTGAAATATATTAGCTTATTTATTGGTTTGAATTAATTATTTTATCATTTATGCCCACTTAGCTGTATTTGTTCTCTGCAATCAGTAAGATGGGCTTTGAAGCCACCATAGGTGAGTTCTCAGCTTTTTCGCACTTCAAAAATATCTTATTTGTCATTATTTAAATATAATGATAAGATTTGTTGTCTGGATGATCCCTTTGAGATACTCTGATTCTGGTTTCTAGCATTTCTGTAATTAGAGCATTTAGTGTAGGTTGCGCTATGATAAGACCGCTTTAGACCCAACAGAAGATGGGTCCATGCTCTCTTCATCAAAAGGCATTGGATAGTTATTATGTATTTTTTCTGCCTTAATGGATTTGGATGGAAAGCAAAAACAGAGAAAAAAAACGGCAAGGATCACAACAGGATTACATACAGAAGGTAATGGTATTTCTGCCTTCCCCGTCCGAACATTTTCTATGAGGCAGGACAACTGCAGAATAAAAGCCTCACTTGGAAGCACCCGAGACACCCGTGGCAAACCGTAGGTGGCCACTGATGATCGGGACTTGATGTACTTTGAGATGCAGAACAACAGCAGGCAGCTTGCATGAAGTGTTCTTTCACTGGAATTTATATACACTTAGTCATTGAGCTCAGTGGGATTTGCTTCTAGGTAGACTATACGATCATACCATCTCCCTCTTACTCTTTTGACATTAAAGGGCTGCTACTTCTATTAAGGGATTCGCAGCATGGAGTAGTAGGTAAAGTGATGGACTAGGACTCTGGAGAACCGGGTTCAAATCCCCATTCAGCCATGGAAACTCACTGGGGGAGTGGGACTGGTCGAATCACTCCTTAAGTATCTCACTTACCTTGTAAAATCCAAAGAAACAGAACAAAAAAGACAGAAACGTGCAACACCTTAAACCCTATTCAGGTTGCTATAAGTCAGTTCCAACTTGACAGCACAGAGTGCAAATACACACCTCTGTTAAGATACTAAGTGAACAAAGGTAGGAAGGTACTGGACCCTGCCGTGGACTCTTATTTTAAGGAAGGCTGATTACCACTACAGTGGTGCCTCGCCTAACGATTTTAATTGGTTCCAAAAAAAATCGCTATGTGAAAACATTGTTAAGCGAAACACTATTTCCCATAGAGATGCATTGAAAACCGGATAATCCATTCCAATTGGAACAGATTACCATCCTTAAGCGAAAATCCCCATAGGAAAAAACGTTAAGCGAAACCCATTGAAATGCATTGAAGCCTATTTCAATGGGAGAAAAAAATCAAAAAGACTCAGAACAAAGCCAAATTAAGTTAACAAAGGTTTTATTAGGTGCACTAACAATTCCAAGCATTTTAAACATTTTAAAACATTTTAGAATATTTTAAAAATAGCAAAAATGGGGCTGTAAAAAAAACATTAAGCGAAACAAGGGGACCTAAAACTGTCATCGTTAAGTGAAGCATGGTCCCGAAATCGTTAAGCGAAAATCGCCCATAGGGAAGATCATTAAGTGAAGTGCAAGATCGCTCCGAAAAAGCCATTGTTAAGTGAATTTTTCATTGTACGAAGCATTCGTTAAGCGAGGCACCACTGTACTTGCTTTCAACCTGGTAGTCTGTTTTAGACATCAGCAATCACTAAGGGTGACAGAAGGAAAGAAGGGGGTAAAGATCAGATCTGATGGCAGGATCGTGCAAAAGTGTCTGTCTCCGTGTTCACCCCCCAATTTGCTTGTCTATTTCAGTCATCACTGCTGAATTGTATTGAACCTGAGTCCCCTTAGTCTACCTGGGCAAGACTGTAGTAAGCTAATTGTCTGTCCATATCAGTCTACTTCTTTGTAGGCCAAATGAGGCTAATAATGCCAGTCCTTTGCTGGATAACCTCTTCTATGCATATGTCTCAAATATAGGCCAGGAACAATCTACCAGAACAATCTAATGATTTTTTTACCTTATTAGGTATTTTAGTAAACAGCCTTTCAACTGTTTATAAATCTCATGGCTATTCTGTTTTTTATAACTATGCCTTGAATAAACAGTGTTACATACACTTTATTGTTGGAATCCTCATAAATTTTGAACATCTGAGATTCCCCCCCCCCATCTTTTTTCAAGTTATGCTGCTCATCTGTGGAGCTCTTGTAAACGGCCCTTATGCATTGATCACAACAGCTGTCTCGGCTGACTTGGTGAGTGTTTTTCTGTTCTGCGTGTAGAAATTAATTCCTACAATACATTGATCACTTCCCTGTAATAAGAATATGGGCAGAAAGTTCTTGAGGGGGCATTCAGAAGGACCCAGTGGAAGAAATGTAGGTGGCTCCAATAACCCTGCCATCTGAACCTCATTTAGGAAAGCAGGGGGGGTTTTTTGGGGGGGGAGTGCTGTTTTGTCCTAAGGATAGTTCCTGTGTGAGGCTTACCTGTAAAGCAGGTTGCTGATGTGTGACTGGTTGAACTACCAGGATGGGTGCGCCTCACCCCATTGTGGGAGGAAGAGGATGCATAGCCACTCTTTGGACGGCAGGCCTCTAGTCCCCCAAGGCACATCAGAAGTGATGTCTGTATTCAAAAGGTTTGAGAGAAACTATAGTAGTGTGTGATTGATTTATATAACTTAAACACCTACAGTCCATATATTAGGCAGAACTAGTTACTAGAGGTATGAGAAGAGAAGACTACTTAGAAAAGACCCTGATGTTGGGAAAGAGTGAAGGCAAGTGGAGAAGGGAACGACAGAGGACGAGATGGGTGGACAGCGTCATCGAAGATACCAACAGGAATTTAACCAAACTCTGGGAGGCAGTGGAAGACAGGAGGGCCTGGTGTGCTCTGGTCCATGGGGTCACAAAGAGTCAGACATGACTTAACAACTAAACAACAACAAGTTACTAGAGGTAATCCTTTAGGTCCATGGTTCCCAACCTTGGGTAACCCTGTTGTTCTTGGGCTACAATTCTCAGAGGTCTTAACCACCAGTTGTGCTGGCCGGGGGTTCTGAGAGCTGCAGTCCAAGAACACCTGGGTTACCCAAAGTTGGGGAGCACTGCTTTAGGTGCATGTGATAGCACCTTTTTTTCTTAACGTTTTCATAAAAATCCACCTGGAAATAATGTTAAAATCTAGTACATACAGACTTTCAGAATCCATAGAACTTTGGAAACCACATTTCACTGCAGATATTTTTATTTCACTGAGAATACTGTACTATAGATCACTGGTTCTTAACCTTGGGTTACTCAGGAGTTTTGGACTGCAACTCCCAGAAGCCTTCACCACCAGCTGTCCTGACTGGGGTTTCTGGGAGTTGCAGTTCAAAAGCATCCAAGTAACAAAGGTTAAGAACCACTGCTATAGATCACTTACCTGGAGGTATATAGCTAAATCTAGTTAGTGGTATTTTTTTTCTCTTATGTGCTTTCAAGCAGACAAAGAAAGAGGCACAGTATAGAGAATGATATATTGTTTATAGTCCCATTCTGTATCTTAAATGGTAAAAGACTGGATTATGTGTCTTTTAAGGGTACCCATAAAAGCCTTAAGGGAAATGCAAGAGCCCTATCTACTGTTACAGCCATCATAGATGGAACAGGTTCTGTTGGTAAGTTGTCACTTACATTATATGTACTGAGAAGATCAACAGAAGCTCTAGATTTTTTTGAGCAGATAAAGAGCATTTGCCTTATCTTTCCTTAGCTACTTGTTAGCGGGTTGTAAGGGTCAACAAGAAGATGAAAGCCCACTGCACATGTCATAACCAGATGGTGTCTGAGACCAGAATCTTCTCTCAGGGAACTTCCATCAGCAACCCATGTGTGGTTATTTGGAGATGATCACCAGGGTTATATAACTATCCCCCTTCATAATCAATGTCATGCATATTCACCTATGAAGTCCTTGAAGAATTATTATAATTGTTATTCTTGTCTTTTTCCAACTCTTTGTACCCCTGGCCAGCTAATGGTGTCTGTAAGATGCTTCTTCATAATGTAAGAGCCAGTGTGGTACCTTGTGCATTTTGACCCCTTGGTCAGATCATCCTTAAATGGGTCACTATGAGGTGTGATACATCATTTGGAACAATCCTTGCATCCACATGCAAGGGTCATATGGTTTCTGGACAAAAAACTACATTGCACCTCAAGTTGCCCTATTTAGCCCATTCTTTTTTTAAAAGAGAAAAAAAGATGTCCCTGCTTGTCCCCTCTGCCCTCTATGGGGAAGTGGGAGGAAGCTTTCAATTTAAAATATATATATTTCCAAGTGGAATAGTGCTGAATTGGCTTGCTGAGTGACCATTTCTGCACTGGATAACAAGGGCGGTTGTTTTTTTTTTTAAAGCTTTTCATCTTCTTCAGCCTCGAGTGGGAGGAAGCTTTCAATCTCATGAAGCATTGCTGACATACATACTGGCTTTTTTCAGAAATGTTATCTATACGTAGTGACATTTCAGTGGAGAATCAAATGTTGTGCTGTCTGTCAGATGAACTGATTGTTTTGCATGTTCATTATTTTTTAGGTGCTGCTCTGGGGCCTTTGTTGGCAGGTCTTCTCTCCCCCTCTGGGTGGAATAATGTCTTTTATATGCTGATGATAGCAGATGCCTGTGCCTTATTAGTAAGTTAAAGTATGCTGTATTACCATATTTCTGTGCCCCACTGGCTAATTCAACATTCAAAATGTTGGCTTCCATTTAACGAGTTGTCCATGTCAATTTGAAATCATAGCATTCCACAGTGTGGGCACTGCAGTCAAATGGAACATTCTGAAACAAGCCAAGGTAATTGCACTTTAACTTCTGCACAATGTGTGCTCCTTGGATGGATTTTTAACAAGCGTGCTGGATGGGGGGGGAGCACATCTATCCAAACAGACTTCACTGTTAGCAACCGTAGAAGTTTTGCTGTGCCAGCCAGCAGTAACACTGAGAGAAGAGATCAGTAAGAAGAACCAAAAAATTTAATCATTTTGTACTCAAAAAATGTAATCATCTTCTTTGTCCACTCAACAGTGTCATGTATACTCTTACTGGGAAACTAAAGTCCTGCACCCTAATATTCTACAAGCTAATTTACCAAATGGTCTTAAAAAATGCTTCAGCATGGGGTGCTATTTAGGGAGCGCACTCAGAACATGATATTACAGAAAAGGATTCATTACAGTGATTCATATCATGGTGATTGCATGTTCTGTGTTGTCAAATGCATTTCCTGATTGTGTTCATAATGATTTTACTGAAATAAGTGTGATCCTCCTGAGAGGACTTGTTCTACCATTCCTTCTCTCTGGAGAGGGCAAGTGTTCTTATTTCTAAAATGCATTAAAAACAGGAGAATGAACCTCTTCAGTGTGAACGGAAGGATTGCTCCAGTGAGAAGGAAAATAGATCGCACTGGAGATAAGAATCTTTTAAATGCAAACTAGACCACTCTAAAAGTCCCCTGTCTGGAATCCCTCTGCTGAGGCTCTTCAGCAATCAGCAGCTATGGATTTCATCCTGTGTTTTATAATACTTGGCATCAGATTTATTACTATGTGTGCTTCATTACATGACATAAAACTTGGTTGGTGGATTCCTATGCTGGCTGGAGGTCAGGCATTTGATTCCCTCCTGGCATGAGAAGCAGACTGTGTAGCCTTGGGCCAGCTTCATAGTCCCAGATAGCCTCCAAAATACAGTCGTGCCTCACTTAATGAGCGCACCGTTTAACGACGAATTCGCATAGCGACCTGTTTTTTGCAATCGCTAATGCAAAAATGCATTGCAATGTTTAGATAGGCGAAACATCGCATTGCGATGATCGGTAAGCATTTCGCTTACCGAACTTCGCATTGCGATGCTTAGAAAACAGCTGATTAGCTGTTCCAAAATGGCCACCCGCAGCGTTTTCACGCCCTGCCCTCGCTTACCGGGTAGCAAAAATGGCGGCCGGATGGGGGAATCTTTGCTTACTGGTGAGTTTTTCCCCAATAGGAATGCATTAAACAGAGTTTAATGCGTTCCTATGGGGTTCCCCCCCCCCGCATAGCGACAAATCCGGATAGCGACGTTAATCCTGGAACGTATTAACGTCGCTATGTGGGGCACCACTGTAATGGCAAAACCATTGCTAACTGCTCTGTATCTAGAACACCACGCAAAGGGTCAGCATAAGTTGGAATTGACCTCACATCATGTAATTAATTATTGTACAGATTTTAAAACCTGTTTAATTAAACCTATTTTAAACAACCTGCTGTCTAAAATTCAATATATGTCCAGTGTTCATAGTGCACAGTAATTTACTTATAGGCACACAAGTCTTTTCTTTGCCAAGTTCTACATGTAACCCATTAAGCCCAGTGTTAACCATGCCTGCCCGGCCCAGATGGTGACCTGGACTTTTCCTACATGATACTTCTTTCAGTTTCTTTACTTGAACTGTTTTGCCTAAATGTTGATTTTTGAAAGTTCATAGGTTCTCATGTTAGGTGTTCTAGTCCCTCACTTTCAGGTATCAAATAAAGAACTGATGTCAATGGATACGCTTGCTCTTAATATCTGGCTTACAACTTATTTTTCTTTTTTCAGTTTTTGCTTCGCCTTATACGAAAAGAACTTCAGTGCAGTCTGGATCAGACACTGTAAGTTGTTTTTTTTTTAAGCTCACTGTATGGTGAGTCCATTTTCACACTTGATCCTTCATTTTTAGTCAGCCATTGCTTGGCATTTTCCCCCTGGTCTTTGTCTAGATTTTTGCACTATTGGACAGTTTCTAAAGTAACGCGTGTTACAAAAATTCTTAGAAAAACTTAAGGGCTTGGATTCATTTGGTAGTTTCAGATAGAGTAGGCCAGTGAGTTTTACATAATTATTGACTCTGCATTCTCAGGTCATTAGCAGTTTGTCCTTTTTAAAAAAAAGTAAATTGGGTTTTCACAGAAATCAAATACATTTTACCTTTTACTACTTTCACCTTTAGCCTTATTTATTCTGTACAATACATAGCATCATCCTTCTAAATGCCACATTTTATTTCATTTGTTGCTTTTTAAGCAAAAGTAGCTACACTGTATATAATGGCACAGATCTACTAATTTTTAAATCTAGGTTTGTGTGCCTCTTTGGCAGCAGGAACTCCTTCAGCTAACAACACTTCCTTCCATGTGCCTGTGCATAGCTTCCTTGAACCACTGCTTCAAGCTTATACACAACTTCAAGGTTGGAATAGTTGTAACTTGCAGGCACGTGAAATTAGAATTGAATTGGACCATGTCTGTGTCTGAGGCTGCAGTTAGTGCAAAGGCTGCTAGAGTGTTTCCTGATGGGAGTGTGCCATTGGAGGTACTACATTAAACCAGCACTCTATTGCCCTCAGTTCCTGTTGGCTTTCAACTTATTTTGAGGTGTTCCTTGTTATCAATTATACCTTTCAACAATTTTGGCCATAGATACTTTAGGATGTAAGGGACGTGGTGGCACTGCGGGTTAAACTGCAGAAGCCTCTGTGCTGTAAAGTCTGTAGATCTTCAGCTATAAGATTGAATCCACGCGATGGAGTGAGCGCCCGTCGCTTGTCCCAGCTCCCACCAACCTAGCGGTTTGAAAGCATGCAAATGCAAGTAGATAAATAGGGACCACCTCAGTGGGAAGGTGACAGTGTTCCATGTGTAAGTCGCACTGGCCATGTGACCATGGAAGGTTGTCTTCGGACAAACCGCTGGCTCTATGGCTTGGAAATGGGGATGAGCACCGTCCCCTAGAGTCGAACACGACTGGACAAAAATTGTCAAGGGGAACCTTTGCCTTTTTACTTTAGGATGTATAGAGATGCTCAGTTTTGAAGACCAATGGAAATGACTTCCCTCTTAGTGCTACTGTGGGCCCTATCCAGTGTGCTAGTGTGATAAGAAACAATTCCCAGAAGATATTATATATTGCTTTTTAGTTATCCAGCTTTTTAAAGACCAGGGATGGGTATAAAATTGTACAAGCTATTTAAACTCTGTAATTTTTTTATATATGCATTTTAAAATATATAATTATAATTTAATTTAATGTGATTAATGAATAATTAATATATAAGTATTTCTATATTATTCATATTAATTATATATATTGTTCATATAACTAAATAATAATTTATTAAATTATGTGAAACTGAAAGAACTGTTTCCTTCTTGGAACTACTGTGGGGTTGTCAGCCTTCAAAACTCAAAAGCAAGTGGAGGTGTATTACTTTGAAATTAGTGAGTACTCTATTTTGCTATATGTCAACATGCCCCATGTTTGCTAAGATTCTCCAATCTTTTGTAGGTTTAAAGAACACTGAATATCTGGCAAGGAGTAAAGACTGTGGTTATGAGATCTGAAATAATTAAAGACGTCGCCTGTGGTCCAGAAAGCCTATTCCCTCCCATTGCTTAACAATAAAGTTAGCAGTGGGAGTGGGAGATTCATATTGCACATGTTTCTCTGGATCCTTGTCTTTGTGAAAATACCTGCCTGCGTTTGAATTAAAGTTCCTGAAATGCCTTGCCCAGTTATGCGAAGAAGGCTTAGAAATTCAACACTCTCTTAGCTCATTTTATTTTGCACATGAACTGTTATCTCAGGAAGGTGAATGTCCTCAAAGAAAGAAGCTGCTAGCTATTTTATGGCAGAAATTGAGCCAAAGATATTGTGCCTTTGTATTCAGATTTTCTTAAGCAAATTTATGCCACATAGTTCATTTTATTTTTTTAATAGAATGCAAACAGATCAGAAGCCAAAAGGAGGTAAGAAAAGTAATTTACTTTGGATCGTTGTTCATAGTAGGTTATGAAGAACTGATAAAATGCTGAGCAAAGTGTCTTTCACATTATGTCTACTTTTGCCAGAATCTACTGTGATAGAAGTATGTGCTACTGATTTTGTTAAAAGAAAGCACGTTGTCCCTGTTATTGCTGCTAGTAACTCAATTTTCACACTGTACAGCTGCAATGTCCTCTGCTAGTTCAAAAGCCATCAGTTGCACACTCACAAAGCCATCCTGTTGCTTTCTCTCTCTCTTTTTCCCACCTAAATATTTTTCCCATGCTGGCTATCTCTTTTTTCCTCCCCCCATACGATGCAGTACACACCCCAGCACTTGGCCTAGAACTCATTAGATACTTAAATATTTTATTTAGATGAATAGTCCCAGAATCCTCCAGCAAACATGGCTGGTCCAAATACAACTGATCCAATGATTTACATTGGGATAGAAATAGCAAGAGAAATTTAGACAGCCACCTGGCAGATCTGCTTTGCTTTGTATTCTTGCATTGAGGAGGGGGTTGGACTCGATGGCCTTATAGGCCCCTTCCAACTTCATGATTTTATGATAAGCATCCATGCAAAAATGTTGTTTCTAGCTTGCACTGTTTTGATAAGAGGATGACAAAGATGTTCCATAAAACGTTTTTACGAGACATATTTTATGTGCAGAGGCTTTAGTAGTATTCAGTATGCATATTGCTAATGTGTATTTATTAAACGTAATTATCTTACATCTTCTGACTGTACGTTTGTTATTTAAAACAGTACACTGTACCACAAAGCAGATCTTTACATAAGCGCACAACTCTAATTACCAGTTAGGGCAGCCAGAACTGGCAGATGTTCTTAAAGTCTTACATTTTTCTTTCTCATTGTGGGTACGTTCCAGTTTGGAATCACTAATTTGTATATTTGAATAACCAGAAAAATTCTTGGGCATTATGGATTCATTATTGGCATTCGTGCTGTTAATCTTCATTGCCTTTCTTTACCGGGTTAAATTAGTCGACCACTGGTCAAAGGTCAAACTGTACAGAAATGCATGCTGGCAACAGTTAAGGGGGAAAAGGCGGCAAGGGAGGAAAATATAGCCCTTCAAAGGATAACAGATCTATTTCAATGTGATCAAAATCATCTTTAGATGCTCAAAGGAGGGTTTTGATCCACCAAAGCCTCTACTGAAATTAAGGTTCATCTTTAAAGTCCTGAGCTTCTCCTGCCCGACACGCTTTTCCTTTTCCCCTTTCTTGTTACTGGCATGCTGAGATAGACTAATAGGGCCATTTCATTGGAAAGAAAATGCATGAGCAATCTTCTACCATGCTATTTTCATTTGCTGAAAAGCAGCAGTGAAACGCTGCCACTTTGTCTGAAGGAATGCTGTGGAGAGGGACTGCTCTACTCTTTTCCATCCCGCTGTTTTATGTTTTCTAAAAATTTCACATTCAGAACTGCTGAAGAAAAGGCAGAGCAGCCCTATTTGTGTGGGGGGAAAGTATCTGAATGGTGGTGGGTGATTTTAGCTGGGAAAATGACAGAACACCCTCCCATACACACATATATCATCCAGCACATCCCTCTTAGACTATCAGTATCTTCCTGTAGTCTTTCTTTTCAGCTTTCTTGGTTTTTAAAAAAATCTACTTTGTCCCTGATGTTTTTAGTAATATTTTAAAGGAACACATAGATCCAAGTTTTGTTTTTTTTTGAAAGAGAAACAACCCAGATGAAATAATAGATGTTCCTGCGGTGTGTGGTATTTCTGTACATGTTAAGAACAACTATGGAACAATGCCACCTTTCCCGGAACACCAGACAACCCTTTCAAAACCAAACTGTTTGACAGCGAATGATAAAGGGATCAGCAGAGGCAGTATAAGAGGAAAGAAGGGGGGGCTGTGGGCTGAACAGAGATGGAGCCAAACTGGAAAACCAGTGTTTCTTGATGGTTCAGGACTTGTGACTAACCATGAACTACCACAAACCCCTGGAAAAACAAACCAGTTTGTGACTCCTTTTTCCAGTTCATGTCTTGGGGGAGGCTACAAGTTGTCACTTCTACTGGCGCAGGATCAGAGGCAGCCACAGGCTCCTTGCAGCAGGGAAGCTGGGCACGGCCTCTGAGGATGGCACCCATGCAGCTGCGGAGGCGACAGGAGCCAGATAGGCAGAACATACCCAGTTTCCCCCAAAAATAAGACCTAACCTGAAAATAAGCCCTAGTGTGATTTTTCAGATGCTCGTAATATGAGCCTTACCCCAAAAATAAGGCCCAGTGAAGTGAAACCCCGCCCTCCACCATTGTGCAGCAACCAGAAGAAGATAACATGACTTTATTTGAATAAATGTAGATTGTTCTACATGAAAAAATAAAAGATCCCCTGAAAATAAGCCCTAATGCATTTTTTGGAGCAAAAATTAATTTAAGACCCTGTCTTATTTTCAGGGAAACATGGTAACACGGGCAGTAGGTAGGGGGCAGGCAGGCATCCCCTTGTGTTGAAGCAATCAAAATGCCAAGCGGGGGGCGGGGCGGGCGGTGAATGGTATTTCATTTTCCTTCAGCAATATGGGATCCCCAAACTGGATTGTGAAACAAACCACAAAATCAGACTGGTTTGTTGGGCTTTTTTGGTTTGTGGTTTGTTTCGTGCCCATTTCTACTCTTGAATCAATCCCGAGCTCCTGTGTGACCACTGACTGAATTCTACAGTAATACAGGCTGCGAATCAGAACGATTCGGCTTGCCAATGTAGTCACAGCTTTTAATTACGAAGCAAAGAGGAAGTTTCCGGAATTACCAGCTACAATTGAAAAGAAACCAATCATGCCATCAACATGTTTCATTTCTGAATACAACACATGCCTAATACACATGTCTAACTTGTGACACACATATCTAATATACTTTTAAAATTTCCCACTTCTTCAGGACGACCATGGAGCAAAGGGAGTATTTAATTTGCTGATATTAATTAAGCCACTTCACAGTGGCAAACTGACAGAGTGCTAGTGAGGTCCAAATATGGTCATGTGAGGTCTGTATGCCATTTGGATGCAAAGATCACACCAAATAGCATTCTGAACCTCCTAGTGACCCTGTTTAGCCTACTCCAACCCAGACATGTTGACAATCTCACATGCTCTTTCCCTGCAAATTTTGGTGGGCTTGTTTTGACAGTCACTATGTACTGAAGAAACGAGGCTGGAATCTCACAGATAGACGGGCTGTATATATTTTGCCTAAAAGTGCATTCCTGTGCTCTCTTCCTCTTTCTCCACCACAATGCATATTGCAGTGTAGCATGTGTCCAGTTGTGTTTTTCCTGGTTTTTCCTCTGTGCCCGATTCCCATAACTGGCTGAGAGCAAAGATGATGAGAAATGCTTAGCTCTGTGATGTCAGTAGGACACAGGATACCTTGTACAAGGCATCTCTTGTTTTGTCCTAAAATAGATCCATAATATGGCTGTCCATAACATCTTGCTCTGATTTAAATTAGGGACGCTGAAAGGTCCATACTGGGTGTGGGCCACACGTATCTGTGCGACCCCAGCCAACATGCAGATTTTAGTGCAGATACATCTACACTCTTACTACACACATTCATTCCAGTGTTCCCATCTTCCCAAATAAATTATTGTTTACCCATCACTATTAGCAGTGATTAAATGGAAATCTTGGAGGACAGGGAATAGAAGGTATCCCTCCACACACACACACCCTTCACATACACAAGTTCATCAGCTGGGCTGCAGGGAAACATGGCTGGGGGCCCATCTGCTTTAGGAGCTACACAAGGAGCAGCCAAGAGCTACTAGCTGTGTACTTTTGCCTTAAGGTAGTCCAGATTTTTTTTCACCAAGGATAATTAAATTTTTATCCAATAATGTATTCTTCTCCTGGACCATATTCCATAGAAGTGAATTGACCATTTCAATCTTTAAAATGTTTAAACAATTTTCTAGATCTTTCCATTCAGCTGACTGTATCTGGGATAGGAACTGACTTGCTAACTCTATGCTAGTTTCCCAGAGTAATAATAAAAAATTATTGTAGTTCTATGTATCACTGAAGCTTAAATATAGGACTCCTGGACTCTATTTGATTATGAAAGCAGAAATTTCCTTTTTAAAGCATACGGGAATTTTAAAAGCAACTCACTGTCAGAAAGACTGGCAACCACTGGGAAAGAAAGAACACCATAATTCTGAAATGTTACTTTACATTTAGATATAAAAATGGCCCCATTGTCCTGAAGCAGAAAAGAAAATACATGATTCTGTTTCTTAAAAAACCATATGCTCAGCTTTTGCCTATTTTGAGGCATAAATTGTCACAATCAGTTCTAGATTTTCTAACAAGCAGGATCAATCAACTTTGGTTAATGAAGGCAATTGTTTCTCCATTTCTTAACTGTCATCACTGAGTGATCCAACAGCATGGTTCACTTGGGAGTTTGCCTTTCAGCAGCCTGCAAATGATTCCAGTTGTCTGTTAAGCCATCCACTGCCTGCATATAAGAAGGCCAGACAATCTTTATAGTTGGGGTTTCCCAGAAATCCAAGACTAGCATGCCAAAATCTTGACCATGTTCAAGCTGTCATTTCTTCTTTCTTTTTTTAAAAATACATCTGATACGTTTTGCAAAAAGAGCACGCAGGAGCTATAACTGTATCCTGCTGATTCAACTGGTGTCTGCCCTCTCTCGGGTTTAGCCTATCACAATACTCACAGCACTCCAAAAGAGGGTACAAGCATGAAGGAGCTGTTAGAGAGCAAGGAAGACTAGGGAGTTGAGGGTGGGCTAAAGTTGAAGGGATCAGTCGGGAGAGTCCAGGAAAAGGTTGCAAGAGATGCAACTGTAGCAGAAATTGAATGTTTGACAACCAACCAATTGTGTTCAAAATTTGAAAATAAACTTCAGTGTTTTAATCACTATCTGAGTCTATTTGCTTGGGAGAACTGTTGAATTCCAGCCATACACCTATAGAGCATAGAAAACACAGTGTTGTCCTTGGGTGGATCTCCTTTACTTCCTTTAGAAGCCCCAGGGTTTGTTTTGGGAAAAGATAAGTAAATTGAAGGAGAGGAACTCCAGGAAAAAAAGAAGTGACTACCAAAGATACATGCAGGCACATCATATACTATTGATTCAATATAATGTCACAGCACATTGACATGGGACTGTGCACACTGCAATATTCAACTTTCCCACTATAGTTGCTCACTGGTCCAGCTAGTAATTTTTGAAGTGGGAATTCCCTAAATGCTGGAAGACATCGAATTGTTATAGGAAGACTATGTTGCCAACCTTTCATTTAGCCAGAGGGTGGGAATGAGAAACAATGGAAGTAATAGGCATGCTTATTCAAATAAAGCAAGGAGCGAAAACCAGATTGACAGGGAACCAAAAGAACCAATGAAGGCTGAAAAAGAAAAAGAAAACAGGGATGAAGCCAAGCTAGACCAGAAGACTTTATTCCTCAGCCCGTCTACACTGCTGAAGGGAAAAGCAAGTGTGTGTGCCTTGGCTGCCTGCTCCACACATTACAGACCCATGAGAGGACATCAGGATATGGCATTTGATTCCTATGTGGGGACAAACAGAGCCACAAAGTTTTGGGCGACAGGCTCTGGATTTGAGGTACAGAGATTGTGTCCAGAAGTCCCCTCTCTGCATGGAGGTGCGGACATAGGCCGAGCATGTCAGGTAGGCAGGAAATCCAGC